CCTGTGTATAGGTAGAGTGAGGGTGTGACTCAAAAGGGATGCCTGGGGGAATTTTGTGGAGTGATAGAACTGTTCTATATGCTTATTGGGGTGTGGTTATAAAATATGTTCAAATGTTTAAATTAATAGAACTATACACAAGAAAAGCAATTTTGCCACTATATGGTCATTTAAATAATTTTTTAAAAAAAGAATGGAAAGATAAGGAGTTCTATTACAATTTAGAAAATTCTATATTTATGAATAATGAATATTAGAATTTTGCATAGAGAAGGAAAATGAAAAGTGAGTCCTACTAGCCCCTTTAGTTTCTGCCTGATTAACAGTAAGGTTCTGCATAATATTTAGCCCCAAGTTTTCCAAGGGTTAATCTTAATCTCTTCATGAATTCTGTGGGGTGATGGAACTATTCTAGAATATCATGTTTCATAATATAAAATTTTCCAAAGGGAGGCTCACAGGAAGGCAGGCAGAACCTACTCGATAACCTCAAATTTCTGGCTCTGTTCCTGCAAGGGAAATGAAGAGCTGCTCAAGGGGTCTGCCCACCAGGTGGTAGTATGTAGTGAGTGATTTTAGAGAAAGGCTGAATTTCTGGCCCTGGGTTTAGATAAGTGGGTTAATCTCCTTAAGGTTCAACTGTTTTCTCAAATATAAGGATTGTTATCTCACAGAGTGGTGAGAAACACATGGGATAAAGTATTTGAAAGCATTTAGTAAATAACACAGGACTTACACCTGAGCCTTACTAATATTGTCACTGACCTTGGATCTTGAATCATAATTCTCTCCTTGAGCTTTACTGGCTGCTCTTTTGTTCTGCTCAGGTTATCAGGCATATGTCTCTAAAGTATCTGAATTTCTGTTGGAATAAATGGGGAAGGATCTAACTCAATTCAAAAGAGAAAAGCAGAGGAGGTCTGTATGTTTCTTAAAATCAGAAGCTTAGCTCCTAGCTACAAGGGTGAGATTTCCTCATGATCATGAGGTCAGTTAAAAAAGAGAGAGGAAAAAAGGAAATGGCAAACAAGTATGGTGGAACCATGAAACTAACTCACATGGTCAAATAAAATGGTGAACAAACATGGCCAGACCCACGTGGCTGACCCATAGGAAGAACTCACGTGATTAACAAAACTGGCTGCCAATTGTGGCACAAAGGTAGACTGGGATTAAACAACGACCTGAGAAAGCGACTTGCTAATGATACCCAGAAAGAAAAGGCCATCTAGGGGGAAAGCACAGATGAAACATTGAGCACAAAGAAGGGTAAAATGGGATAGGTGGCTAATCAGGCAGGAGATCAAGTTACCAATAGTTTTTTTTTTTTGTCCCCCAAAATCAAGAAAGTTGAGTAAAGTATCACAGAGAACAGAAATGTGAGGACAAAATGGCATACTAAACTCTAGATTGCACACATGGAACATGAATGATCTGTTCTGCAACTGGGTTAATAATAGGCTCTCTGTTATTGCTTTTTACTGCAATGAGTAACTGAATATGGGAAAGAGAAGAAAGAAAGGGGGAAATGAGTATGAGGCAGACTTACAGGCCTTTTACTGGCTTGGAAAAACACAGAGGCTGTAATAAGTTCTTTGTCCCCCATCCCACACGGTGGGACACACTAGGAAGTTTTTCCTGGATTCCTGAGAAAATGTTCTGAGTTTGTAACCATATAGTGAATCCAACAGATTCCAAATTCTTACATACAGCAAGCAAGGAATTGCAAAGCATACATCTGGTGATGAAAGAAAAGCAGCTACATTTATTGAAAATTTTGAACAGAAATATGGTACTGGGACAAGAAAGAGGAAACAAAGCCCCAAAAGGGTAAAGAAGGGGGAAAAAAAGCCCAAGTGTTCTTTGGTCTGGCATCATATAGGAATGGTCCTAGGGTGTCGCCAGAGCTCAAGTGGGTGAAGTGGAGACGTTAAGAAGGAATGGCCCTTGGGTGCTGCCCAGGCTCAAGTGGGTACAGGGAAAGGGGTCTCAGTGTCAAAGTTCTACTATTCTACATTCCCCAGCTTCCATTAATTTTTACTACTCTCTAGCTCCTTACCTCTTCCTGATAACCAAAAAGGATTTGAACTTTCCAAAGGATCCTTTCCAAAGGAATTCCAACTTTCCCCATCCTGGGAAAGAAGGGATGAAAAGGAGACTGGAGTTTTCCCAGAGTCAAGAGACAGAAGAAGAAAAACACCTTCTCCGCCACAGATTTTAGAGAGAAACAAATCATGCCCAAAGGCATGCTCCTGGATGGCTCTGCCATATGTTATCAGGTTTCGGAGTACTGGAGGCTCCTTCTAGAGGTGGTTTGTAGGTTCTTTCTATCCTGAACAAAGAATTGGTCAAAACAAGTGCAAAAGTTTTACATTTATTAAAGGTAGGAAAAGAAACAGGCTCTGCAGAGCAAGTATGGGCCAAGAAAAAGTAGATAATAAGATACACTTCAAAGCATGAGGGTAGGCTACCAGGAAAGAACACAGAGATGGAGAGTTCAGTGTGGTCTCTTCTTTTTGTATACCCACTTCTCAGGCTGATGTCAAGTCTAGGCCATCCTACTGAGAACCTGCTTGAGTTCTTGAAAGTCCATGTGCAGGGCACACTGTTGTGTGCATGGGATTTTGTAATTAACAGGTCACACCTACTTCCCCAGACAGCTTTGCCACTCCCTAGTCTCCTGCCTCAGTGGGACCCATGTAGGTGTGTGCCACTCCTGGCCTGCTGCCAGATGCACACTGCCCTCTCAAGGCAGCCCTATACCCATTCCCAACCAGAAATTCATATCCTCACTGGGCTGGGAATATGGCCTGAATACACACGAGAGATTTGTTTTCCTTGATGCAGGTACTTAGCAGGTCTTGGATGCTCACCTTGGATGTGGAAGATAGAGGGCCTATTCTTTCCAGGTCCTCAAACTCATACAACTGCTTCAGGTGAAAGAGGCCCAGTCCTGGCCCCTTCTCCAACCTTCTTTTCCTCCTTAGCCACTCCTAATTTCAGAGGCTGACTCCATAGTCACATATGTCAAGCTCCTCAGAGGAGATTCTCCAAGGTTACCAAGACAGAGTGATGGCAACAAATTTGGTGCACACCCTGAACAATGCTCTCTTAAGTTCTTACATCAGGGTGATCAAGGACAGAGTGTCCTAAAATCATCCTCTTTGATACTGGTCATGGTTCTCAGAAGCTGCTAAGACTGAGGGGGGAAGGCAGGCTCTTCAGTTCTTCACACCTATTTTTTGCTGTACTGTAACACATTCTGGAAATCTACCTTCCAATGTCAAGTTCTAGTTCTGATGCTTTCATTTTCTCCCTCCAGCCTCCCTCTTGGCTTTATTCCCGTCCTCTGAAGGATAGGATTCATGAGACACTCTGTAACCATCATCCTACATACCCACAGCTTACTCTTTCACCAATTCTACCTACTGAACTCTGGACTCTGCCACTTTTAGACACCTTCCAGGAAGTGGCTGAGCCATTTTAGATAAATATCACACAACTGAGTCTATTGGTGCTACCACAAACTCATAGACTTCACTAACGGTGAGCTCCAGTGACACCTGGAATTCATTTCTTCCATGTGGATTTATTAAGTGAACATTATGTGCCACACAGTCTTTTAAGTGCTTGAAGTGCATCAGGGAACCAAACAGATGAACGCTCACACATGTTGCATCAAAACTCTCTTAACCAACCTCCTCTCTCAGCAAACTAAAACCGCTTCAGCTAGGCACAGTGGCACTTGCATGTAATTCCAGCTAGTTGGAAGGCAGAGGCTCAAGGGTCACAAGTTTGAGGGCTGGGCAGCTTAGTGAGAATTTGTCTCAGAATCAAAAATAAAAAGGGCTGGAGCTGTGTCTCAGGGGTAAAGCACTTGACTAGGATGCGCAAGACTCTTGGTTTAAGTATCAGTATCCAGGAGGGGAAAAAACACCAAACAAAAAGCCAAACCCTACCTCAAATCTTCACTCACTTCTCCCCCTTCTGTGCACCCTCTCCACGGAGGTGTTGGCTTTCCATTTCACAGTGGAATTAGCAGGGATTTTTATAAATCTTTAAACCTGGAAAAGGACTTGCATACCATCCTCTCTCTCTCCTTCCCTCCTGTTACAACAGCAGTCCCCCAAGCTAGGACTGATCCCTTTATTGCTCTTATCTAAGCACTTTGCACACTGTGTTGTAATGTGGCTTCATTATCTATTGCTCAATTATCAACTGTCCCAACATAAAATCATTGTCTGTACTGGTTGAAACCTTCCTTGATGCAGGTCTTTCTGATTCTCATTATCTTGCAAGTCTGAGAAAGCAGGTTCATCTTTTTCTCACCAGTTATATACAATGAAATACAGGCAGCAGAATGACAGTCTGTTAAAGGAATCAGAGGTCAGAGATAACATTTTTTACTCTGGATTTTCACAGGCTTCCATACCTGTAAATTAGATGCTCTACGCTATAGTCACCTCTTTCTATTCCCTCATTGTTTTCCTACCTTTCCTTTTAACACACACAAATCCTCTTTCCTCATGGTCAGTGTACTTCTTTCTTCCTGCTATCCTGATATATAGAGATTTATATATATAACACACACACACACATATAATAGATATAGAGATAAAGGAGAGAGAATACAACCACATTTTATCAGGGCAGTGCCAAGTATAAATACTTTATGCCCTTCTCCACGAATGCTGATGAATCTGTGAGTCTGTATGTAATGAAATCATTTCCCCTGTATGTCCTCAATCTGACCTCCAGGACTTCGCACCTAGCACGTATCCTGGTAATTCTAAACACAGAGGTCAAAGTAGACAGACTCCTGTGGCCATATTCTGTCCCCCAGACGCTCCTTCACCCAATGGGCAGCTGCAGCGATGCTCTCTGTCTGGGTGACGTCCAGGATCACCGTCTCCAGCCGTGCCGACGTCTGCTTCCTCAGCTGCTCGGCCCCCTTCTCTGTCAGACACACGGCCAGCACCCTCAAGCCTCGCGTGTCCAGCTGTCTGGCCAGCAGGTTCCCGAAGCCCGAGTCACAGCCCGTGAACAACACATACTTGTCTTGGGGGTTGCTCACCACCTGCCTCTCCCATACCAGCGCACGACGTGGTACAGGCTCAGGAGGGCTGACAGGTACAGCAACATGGCTATGCAGATAGCACAACAGGCTGGGTGAGACAAGAGCGGCCTCTGTTCAGACAGGAGAATGTTGGAACTCAGAGGGCTGTGGTGCCAGGCAACCTCCAGGCTGTAAGGTTTTTTCCTGTTACTTTTTTCAGATAAGTTAGAGAAAGAGGAAAATATCCAGACTTACCCAGGATCAGGTTATGTCGCTGACTTTTTTGTTTCTCGTTTGCTTTTATTTTTGATGTACTCAATTTAATTATTGATATATGTAAAATATTAATTTTCAATGTAACAAAAATGGTAGGTTATTGAAGGGGCCAGAATCCTTTCAGAAATGCAGTGAAAAACAGGAAAGCAGAGTGTATCTGGTTTACAGAGAAGTATGGCAGTTCCTGCTTTGGTCTTGATATTTTAATGAATGTTTGGCAAAACTTTGTGGCTATTAGGTAAAGAAAGGAAATAGTGAGCCAGTGTTGGCAGCACTAAGTATCTAGAAGTGGATACACCTTGATTCTTCAAAACTAAAATCTTCAAAACTAATTTTTTTTAAGACAGGGTCTTGCTCTCTAGTTCAGGCTATCTTTGAGCTCATTACGTAGCCCAGGCTGGCCTCAAACTCAAGCAATCCTCCTGCCTCAGCTTCCTGAGTGCTGAGGCATGTGCCACCACACCCAGCCAAAACTGATTCTTGAGTCAAGTAATTCTTGACTTCTCAAAATTGAATTCATCAAAATTAAAAGTACAGTTGTCCAAGAGTTCCAGGCTGCAAGTTGTTTTGCCTTTTTCTTCTTTCACTCTTCTTAAAAAATGTATTTATCTCAAAGAACTAGGATTAGATGTTCCATTTGACCCAGCCATCCCTCTGCTTGGTATCTTTCCAAAAGAATTAAAAGAATCGTAGCAGTGATATAGGCACACCTATGTTTATAGTGGCATAGTTTGTAATAATAAAACTTGGAAACAGCCCATTTGCCCATCAGTTGGAAACTGGGTAAAGAAGATGTGGTTTTTCTATAAAATTGAATACTATTCAGCCATAAAGAATGAGAAATTAGAGTCATTCATAGGAAAATAGATGCATATTGAGGATATACTCTTAAGTGAAATAAGTAAGTCACACATGTGTAAATACCAAAGTTTCTCTGGTGTGAAAAACTATAATTGTACATAAAATCCTAATGGTATAATTGATAATGTGAAATAGGAAGAAAAGGGCTAAAGGTGTAGGGGAAGTGGGAAGGGTGGGGAAAGGAAATAAGGGAAATGAAAAAAATATGAGAAAATGGAAATAAAGTATTTGTAAATAGAGCAGGGAGAAGGGGGTGAAGGGAGGGCAGGGGTAAGGGGAAAAAATGAGAACCAAGACCTGTCATGTAAAGGTACAAGATCCCAATGATGAATGTAACTGTACTGTATACCTAAAATGTACCAAAAAACTTAATGAGAAAAAAAAGTACATTTAAGCAACCTTATAGAATAAAAACCAGTATATGCAATAAATTTAATTCTTACTTGATAGTTAATATTCAATTTACTGGATCTTAATTTACTTTAGCAACCTCATAATGTAAAGACAGTAGAGAGGAAAGATGAATAGGGAAATTACACATTTAAAATCAAGATGGGAAACAAGAGAAAAATATAAAACTTAGAATAAAAAGAGAGTAAGGAGTGGTTATCAGAGCCTAGTACAGAAAGACGAACAGGTTGAGCACAGAGGTTTCAGGACCATGAAAGTCTTCTGTATGAATCTGTAACGATGGTACATGTCACGACACAATAGTCCAGACCCATAGCATGTAAAACACCAGAACAAATCCTAATGTAAACTATGGAATTTGGGTGGCAGTGAGGTGTCAGTGTAGGCTCTTCAACTGTAACAACTGTGCCCCTCTGGTGGGGGCTGTTCATAATTGGGGAATGAGGTTAGGAGGTGTATAAGAACCCTCTGTATTTTCTGCTTAATTTAGCCACGAACCTAAAATTACTCTAAAAATAAAGTGGAAAGAAAAGAAAAGAGGGTGAGAGTAAGGTAAGAGTCATGAGACGTGCTAACCAGAAAGACATAAAGATTATAGAACAGAAAGATTAAACCTAGTTGGGGAAATTCAGGTTACAAAGAACCTCGGTAGGACCAGGACTCCCAAAGTGTAACTTTAATTTAGATCTCTTTTTTGGAATTCAGACCCATGTATCCAACTGTCTTTTTGGCATCTCTTTTACACAGTAGAATAGGTACATAAAAATGTTTAGTCTTCTATAAAATATGAAGTGCAACAGTGAAAATAGAAACAATACATCAAAGTTATCTCCAAGCAGAACCATTATTTCTCCTCCTACTCCAAATCCTTTTCTTCTTCAGTCTTTCTCATTTTGATAAATAGCACTACATCTCTGCCATTGAATCTTCCCTTAACACCGCTTCTACCCTTATACCCCGTACATAATCTGTGTGTGTCCTGCTGATTCTGTTTTAAAAATAAACCTGTAAACCAGCAATTCTCACCCCCACTGTCATGGCTCTGTCTAGAGCCTCCATTGTTTCTTCACTGGTTCCTGAATCTGGTTTGACATCTTACCACCCCTTCTCTCCCTAGAAGTTAGACTGAACTTGCAAAGACACAACTTTCATGTTGTCCCTTTGTGCTTTCCTTTTGTATAATTCAATAAAGCTTACTTTGCAAGCTGGGCATCGTGGCACACACCTGTAATCCCAGCACTTGGGAGGCTGAGGCAGGAGGATCACTGCAAATTCAAAGCTGACATGGGCTATACATAGTGAGTTCAAGTCCAGTCTAAACTACTTGACAGAGCATGACCCTGACTCCAAAAAAAAAAAAAAAAAAGTGAGTGAATGAAGTAAAGGCAGACAATAAAAGCTTTTAAAATTTTTTAAAAGCTTCTTTTATGAAAGAATACACAGTGAACATCTTTTTGCCACACTAATTATACAGCTAATTCTTTTAAAAAGTGTTATAAAATCACAAAGTGTCTTAGTTACATTTCTCGTTGCTGAGACAAAATATTCAACAGCCAAAATTAAAGGAGGAAAGGTGTATTTGGCTCACAGTCAAGAGAGGTTTCAGTCCATAGAGGGCTGGCTCCATGGCAGAGTGGCATCGCAGAGGAGAGATGGTGCAGGACAAGCAGGGGGAAAGAGGCTATTAGTCTTCTTTCTGTCCCCATACTTTATTCAGGTTACCCACCCTGTGCCAGGTGTAGCACTCACGCTTTTAATCTTATTGTGTCGAATCAGTCAGTGGAATGATTTACCAATCGTACACCCTTGATGCCAGCAGTGCACCATGAGTCAATTTCAGCATCACACAGTCTAGCTCGAGCCACCTCTGAACCCTCCACCCTATGATCCTATGAAGCTTTGGGGGACATCTTGACACGAGCCAAATACAAAGCATTGAAAGTAACAGATATAGTGCAACCAATCCTTTTTAGAGTTTATTTAGACTGTTTTATGTTTAATGTTACAAATCAGAATACCAAAGACTCTCTGGAAATATGTATTTATATATTTTTGTCCATATTTTTTACCATAAATTTGAAGATATATAATTGGTAGTATTAACTACAGCCAAATTAACCTAACAGCTGAATACAATAATGACATTTCCCTCTGTACTTACCATTACTGACATTTTAAATTTCTGCCTATTTTTCTATTTTTTAAAAAAATCTCATGGATTTAGTTGTACATTGCTTGTAAGTCTTGCTTATACACTTATTAACAATTGATATTTCTTCTTCCATGAGTTCTATTGAAATCATTTACCTATTTTTCTATTGAATTATTTTTAATTACTGCTATTACCTCCTTTTAAGTTACATTTTATAATTTAGAAATTTTTCATGTACAGTATATGCTGTCAAATCCCCTCCTACACCCCCCACATCCCCAGTGTTCTGGTGATTAGCACTCTACCATTGAGCTACAACCCCAGCCATTTTTGAAAAATTTATTTTGACACAGGGTTTCACTTAAGTTGCCCAGTTTGTCAAATCTCTTAATTTCTTTTATGACTTTTGGATTTCTGTAATGCTTAAAAAGGCTTTGCCTAAATGCAAAATAATAAAAATAAGGAGGCTTTCATGGTACAATGGTAGAATTCTCACCTCCCAAACTAGTAGGAATAGCTTTCTATATTTCCCTAATAGTTTATAGCTTAAAATATTTAATTGAAAATATTGAGTAGTTATATTTAATTGAGATGGAGTTTGTATGTAGTAAGATACAAGGATTTGAAGAGTTATTTCCCATTATAGTGTGTATCAGTCTGAATCCAATCAGTAGACAGAAAACAAATACTAATATTTCAAGGAGTTCAATAGAAAGGCATCGAGCAGTTATGGGAGGACTACATGTCTTAATCGTGTTGAGCTAACTCTGACCCTCACGAAGAGCTCACCGCAGATGGACCGATGTGGAGAGCGGCCCTGTGCCCACGGCTGGACAGATGTGGCCGGAGCAGTCTGACTGGGTCCACCAGGTGGCAAGGAAGCTATCTGGCTTGTAGGGGGCCAGAGCGGCCCAGGGGGAGCGGGAGCAGGAGCAGGAGCACACAGGGCCCATTCCAGGGAGGCCGTGGAAAACAAACCACAGAGCTCTTCAGGTGCGCAGAAGAAGGCAGAATACCGCGGCGACAGGCTCGGGGCCTGGGACACAGGTAGAGGTCACAGAAGGTGACACACACAGAGGTCGAGGGCTATGAGGACATTGAGCGGCAGGCAAGCACGCGCTAATCCGGGGACGGAGTCCCTCCAGCACCCTCTCCTGGCAAATTTAATCTAACACCGTAACCACTGTAAGAAAGTGCCTGGACACTCCAGTTCCTTGTCACAGAGCCGATTTTGAAGGATAATTCTGGAGTTCAGAGGCACAGAGAAACAGTTGGCAATTATCAACTATTGAACTGGTAATTGGCACAGAGAGACAATTGTACCGGTACCATTCCGTGAAATTGCGCTCTTTCTAAATTGATTTAAAATGTCATCTTTATATTTTCATGTATTCACTGTTCTGCTTGGGGATTCTGTCTTCTATAAAAGTCTTTGTAAATTTTTGTGTAAGAATAACAGTTTTAATCACTAGAGCAAAGCAGAGATTTGGCCCTTGGCAAGGCAAATTTTCTCTCATTGTTTTTCAGATATTTTTGTGCTTTTCCAGGAGATATTCTTCCAGATGTATATCAATCAGTACCTGTTTGTCAAGAACCTAATTGGTAAACTGGTTGTGGCGTAATCTCAACACTGCGGAGGCTGAGGTGGGAGGATGGTGAGTTTGGGGCCAGCCAACTACATAGTGAGACTGTCTCAAAACAAACAAACAAACAAATATAACAAACACAAACCAAACAAAACCTGAAGAACCCAGCTGGTTTACATTTAATTCAGGTTAACTAGGACATATTTATAGTATTCAGCCTTCCATCCAGGTACTTTAGAAAAATAAAATTTCTTTAGTTTTAACATAAAATGTGTGGTAAAATGGTACACACTATAGAAAACATAGGATTAAAATTAAACATAGAATTAAATGGAATTATCCTACAATCCAGCAATTCCACTTACAGATTATATATGCCCAAAGAACTGAAACCTAAGAGTCAATTTTTTTTATAGCTGCATTGTTCGCAATAGTCAAAAGGTGAAAGCAATACAGATATCTAATGAACAAAATATAGTACATACAAGGGAGTATTATCTAGTCTTTTAAAAAGATGAAATTCTGATTGTGCTACAGTATGGTGAATCTTGAAAACATTATGATTATGAAATCATCCAGACACCAAAGGACAGATATTTTATCTGAGATGCCTAGAATAGTCAAATTCATGGAGAGATTGAAAAATGGAAAGAAAAATAGTGGTTACCAGGGGCTAGGGTTGGATGGGTGGGTAGAGGATATAGGGAGCTATTATTAATGGGTATAGAATTTCAGTTGGGAAAGATGAAAGAATTTTGGATACGGATAGAGATGATGGTTGTGCAGTATATGTGTGTAATGGCATTGTATGATATACTAGAAACTGGTAAACTTTTTAATGGATAGTTTGGCACAATAAAATATGCATATTTGATTTAGATTATTAATTATAAATTGATATATCTGATATAAACATGTAGAAAAGAATGAAAAAATAATCCATAAGCTTACCACTTTGGCATAACTATAATTAAATTGTTGATATATTTCCTTCTAGTTTAAAAATAATTTTTATATCTACATGATTGAAATTATACTGGATATGCAGTTTTGGAACCTATATTTTAAATTTAATTGAAGCATTTCCCTTATGCTATTAAATTTCTTCAAAATGCCACAATAATGGCTATGTAATAGTTCATCTTTAGGTAGCATAGTTGGCTTAGAGACCCTTACATTTATGAATCATTTTCAGAAGAGTATTTTCATAATTTCCGGTTGTGTTACAAAAACAAAGTAGCAATTTTACAGTTGCAAAAACTAAGAGGCAAAATACCAACTGACGAAGGATAACACCCCAACAACAGTATAAACTGATATTGTGTATCCTCTGACATGATACCCTAAAAAGATAGAATCATTTCTATGGCATTTCTACCAGAACTACCTAAATTGAGCCTAATCACAAGGAAACATCAAATGAATAAAAACTGGGGGTGGGGATTATGTGCTTTATAAATGTCAAAAATAAGAAAGATAAAAACTGACACCATCATGCTTGCTTGGCAGCACGTATACTAAAAAAGAAAGAAAGAAAAATGAAACGACACAGAGAAGATTAACATGGCCCCTGCAGCACAATGACTCACGCATTTGTGAGACGTTCCATATTTTAAAAACTGAGACTATGTTAGAGATATGTTATAGATTGAAAGACAACAAAGAGAAATGTTTACAATATGCAGCACATGATCTTGGATTGGATGCTGGATATATGACTTTGTGGGGACAATTGACAACATGACATTTGAATGGCAATTAGATGGTAGTATTATAAAATTAAACCTCTTGGGCCGGGGATTTAGCTCAGTGGTTCCAGTGCCTGCCTCACAAGCACAAGGGCATGAGTTCGAACCCTGGTGCCAAAAAAACAAAAACAACCCCCCCAAACCTCTTTTCAAAATACTAGAATTTGAACCCAGAGCCTTTGCAATAAACTGCATGCCTAGCCTCTCTAAATTTTTTTTTTTTGACATTTCAAGACAATTTCACTAATTTACTAAATTGATCAGTTTGGGCTTGAATTTTCAATCCTCAGATTCCAACAGTGCTATGTTTATAGGCAATGCACCATCACACCTAGCTAAACCTCTATTCTTTATAACTTATTCAGTCTGAAGCATTCTGTTATAGCAGCAGGAAACAAACTAAAACAATCCCTTAAAATAGGATACAACACTGACTGTTTTAGTTTATATTTTCTTCAGGGTAGATCATTTGTGTTGATCAGTATTTTCTAAACTTACATCAGAAACACCATATTGGAGCCCAGGGATAGTCATAAGAAGATCTATAATTCAAAAAGGACTCCTAGGTGAGTCTAGGTATAAGGCAATCAAATCAGACCTGTATTGTGATCACAAAGGCATGATCTGCATGGGTGTTTTTTCCTACCTTAATCAGTTGTAAGCAAGAAGCAAGAGGCAATCCCAAAAGTCCATGGTTTCTGTTTTTCTCTTTCTTTTCCTTTATCCATCCACTGATCTTGCCTTCCTTCCTTCTTTTCTTTCTTTTGCTCATCCCTGGGTATGAACAAACACTCTTTTGTCTATATATGAAATCTTCCAGGGGCTGGGGGTATAGCTTGGTGTTAGAGCATTAGCTCAGCATTCATGAGGCTCTACATTCAATCTCCAGCACCACTAAAGGACTAAAGGGAGAAGAAAAAAAATCCAGCACTTTTACCAATGTTCTGACAGCCAGGATTTTGTTTGCTTGCTTGAATTACTGAGCAACTATGCCCACCTAAATTCTCTGAGTTGTCACAATCACAGCTTTGCTATATAGGCAGCATTGCTCTGGGGAGGGTGGTTATTTCCCAATGTGTTGTTTACATTGAAAACACATTCAGTCTTCATGCTTCCTTCTATACAGCACAATGTGGACCCTAGTCTGGACACCGCACCCCAGCTCTTCCACTCCACTTCTCATGAAATTTCTTGGAAGAAATTTCCACTGAACAAGAGCTTTAGACATCACAGCCTGTTTTCAGCTAAAGTCATCAGCAACTAGGCCCCATGCAGCTCAGAATGCCAGGTATTTAGCTGGACATTTGCAAAATGAATCATGTTCAGGTGCTTGATGGGTCCACAGCTCTCAAAGGAGACAAGCAGTCAGTGAGTAGTGACAATGCTGCAAGGTCTTAGTATCTGAATTCACTTGGGCTCTGAGAACAGGAAGACAACAGCTGCAACTGAATACTGTGATAGCAAACTGATTAATCACCAAAACTGTGGTGAGAGGTGGTGTCAGTGACTTTCAGTAACTTTCCTTAGAAGCTGTCTCAAGGCCAAGTCCAGAGTGTATAATGAATGCCTGTAGAACAAATGAAGATGTGTGTGTGTGTGTGTGTGTGTGTGTGTGTGTGTGTGTGTGTGTGTGTGTGTGTAGTGGATCCTTAGAGGCTCAGTGAGGAAGTTCGGTAAACTTCCTGAAGCCTCAGGTCAAGAAGGCCTCACAGGGGATGTAGCTCAGTGGTTCTGCCACCTGCCTCACAAGTGCAAGGTCTGGAGTTCGATCCCTGGTACCCCACCCCCCCAAAAAAGAAGGCCTCACAAAGCAGTTGATCTGCAAACTAAGAAGTAGATGAGGGGAAAGAAGTTCCAGGCAGAGAGAATAGCCTGTGCAAAGGTATAAAAAGAGGGTTTCAAAAAGCTTGAGTGTCCAAGGGAGCAAGCAGTGGTCAGCACTGCTGCAGCAGAAGTAAGCCCTCAGGAGGAGTGGGACTGGGCTGGGAAGAGGCAGCACAGCACCTCTCTCTGCCTGAAGCCCCTCCACATGTGGGAAGGAAGCTCACGTCTGGTCTTGTACCTTTGAGTTGTGCCTGAGCTATCTTCTTTGGCTGTCTGTGGTTTCCATAACACTTTGCCTTGAGCATCTTTTTGTTTTTTTCAACTTTAATTGAGTTTATTGGTACATTTTAGGGATACAGTACAGTTACATTCATTGCTGGGATCTTGTACCTGTACATGACAAGTCTTGGTTCTCATTTTTTCCCCTTGTCCCTGCCCTCCCTTCACCCCCTCCTCCCCTCCCCATCTACAAATACTTTATTTCCATCTTTTCATTATCTCACATTTTTTTCTTTTCCCTTATTACCCTTCCCCTACCCATCCCACCTTCCCTACACCTTTAGCTATTGCAGATTACACACCAGAGAAACTATTCAGTATTTACACATGTGTGCCTTATTTATTTCCCTTAGAAGTATTGGCCAAAACCTGAAAACCTTCATGTTAAAATCAGGAACAAGACAAGGATGCCCATTATCACCACTCCTCTTCAATATAGTTCTGGAAACATTAGCCATAGCAATTAGACAAGAGAAAGAAATTAAAGCAATAAAGATAGGAAAGGAAGAAGTTAAACTGTCATTATTTGCTGATGATATGATACTACTGTACACTGAAGACCCAAAAAACTCCACCAAAAGACTTCTCGACTTAATTGACAGATTCAGTAGAGTATCTGGATACAAGGTGAACACCCAAAAATCAATAGCCTTATACGCAAATAACAGACTCACTGAGAGAGAAATAAGGGGAAAAATTCCTTTTACAATAGCAGCCAAAAAAATGAAGTATCTAGGAATCAATCTAACAAAAGAAGCAAAAGATCTCTACACTGAAAACTACAGCACCCTGCCTTGAGCATCTTTGGGAGGACAGAGTGAGACTTTTCATGTGCACACATGCATCTCTCTGTAAAAGAAGGGCGGTTTTGCTCCTAGTCACTCAGAGAGAGCAGGGGTTCCTTGCCCACTCAAAAATTTCTCCCTCAGATCTTTAAGAAATCCTTTGACTAATTTACAGTAAGTCCCCAATTTATGAACATTCAAGTTGCAAATTTTCAAAAGTGTACTGTATAAGACTCATTTTGATGGATCATGAACAAATCCAACTTATGAACATTCTCCTAGAGTAGAACTCATTTGTAAGACAGGGACTTACTGTATTTATTAATAAAACAAATTTATAATTGAGACTATAACAAAATGCAAAATACCTTAACTTGCAATGTTGCATTTCTACTGAACCCAAGGCTGGAGTTACCCCAAAAGTCATGGCAGGAGATTTCCTGCAAGGGAGCACCCCAGACTTTCCAAGATGGAGCCAGCAGGGGATTCCAAAGAGAGAAGCACTAAGCAGCAGGGTTATCAGTCCAAACCATTTATCAGGGACATTATCTACAGCAAGGCAGCAGCAACCCTGACAAAGAAGAGTGACAGAAAGAGCTGCTCTACCTAGGTATGGCCACAATAAAGAGGTGGGGTTGGAGTTCATAGGGAGGCTTAAGGAATTTGTCTCATGGCCATTGAAAGGTGTTTTAGGTAACAACCTACACTCCTTTATCCCCAAATACCTGATGATGTTCAAGGCTAAGGGTTTGGTTAAAATCTGCAGGAAAAAAAATATGCAGCTGTCCAGATCACAAAGTGGTCAAGGTACTTTGTAATTTTTGGTCAGGACAGACAGAAAGGTGGGAGACTGAGGGAACCCATATCAGCCAAATAACATTTGACCAAAAGCATAGCTGAGCCAATACTTTCATGTAAGAAATAACCTATACTTTTCTAGAGCTTATCCTAAAGTCTTAACAAAATTCTATCTTTCTAAAAAGCGGTCAAGTTATGTAATAGTTAAAATTTTGATCAATATTTCCATGTTCCGATGATAGATTTCTGTATCCACCCAGTTCACTGCCATTCAGCCCAGTCTCCCTCAGTTAAACAAGAAAAAGATTGACTTCACTTTTATTATTTAGGTGAGACAAAATGTTTCCTCAGTTCCCATCAAGTTTTAATTTTGTTAAAGAAACATAATCCTAGTTCTCTTAAAATCTCATCCTAAGTATCATTCTTCTGCTGATTTATCAACTACCTAATTTTTTTTCTTTTTCTTTTTCTTTTTTGCTACAGGGTCTCATTATGTAGTTCAGGTTGGCCTTGAGTTCACTATGTAGCCAAAGCTGATCTTGAACTAGCAGCTATACTCCTGCCTCAACATCCTGAGCACTGGGATTGCAGATATACGCTACCATGCCCAGCTGCAGCTACCCAAATATTTTAAGGTTTAACCAGCACAAACTTCTTTAACTCATCTTTATTTGCTTTTAATAAAAACCCATGTTGTTCAGTTTTTGGAAATGATCTGAGCGGGCCAAACTCCACTGAAGTTTGTGAGTGACAGAACTTGTAAAAAATGGACTTTCAGAAGTGAGCCCAAGGCTAACTCAGAGTTAAGTTTGCCTTGGAGCAGGCAAGACAATAGACTGAAATTTATATGAAAATGATCTCTACTAAAATATATTCATTCTTCCAGGGAGATTTTCTTTCCATGACCCTTTCACTTCAGGTCGCAAAGCCTCAGATGGAATGAGATTAACCACACTAACAAGTCAATTGCCACTTGGGTTCAGAGGTCCATGAATTAAAGACAAAAAGAACTTGCCCTTGAGAAACCCAAGACAGAAACAGCTGAATATCTAATACTGAAGTTGACCACCCCACCCCTAGAAGGGAAAGGTAGACAGAAAGAGGCCAAGCATGGGAGACTCCCGAAAACAACAATTTGGCCAAGATCAGTAAGGAAAACTTGGTGGGTGAATGTAAGATACAGCCTGTGGTATGTTCTTTTCAATCACATGGACATTCCGAAAATTTTTTCCCCTCAGATCCATTTCTGTTTGTTCTTTGAAAACATTAATCTTATGTTTTGAAAAAGCATAAATTTGGGACAGTAATCTGTCTCTTTAACTCAAATGATGCATTGTGGTACATTTTCCCAGAGCAAAAGTGAACTATGACTAAAATTAAAGTTCACATTGCCTAACCCATCTATTTCAATACATTTGTCCATACTTCATGTTTGCAAAATGGTATTGGTGTTGATGGATGTTCTCCTTAAGGTGGACCCCTTCCTGCTCCCCAGTCCCTGCACAGGCCTGTTCGTACACTTTGACTCATGTTGTACTATTTTAACAAGTGCATACTGAACATATTACAAGAGAAATGGTGCAATGGCTTGGATAGAGAATATCCCTCAAGGGCCTCATGCACTCAGGTGGGGCTTTGGGGAAGTGGTTGACTCATGGAGGTGCTGTGGGAAGGTGGGTCTAGTCAGAAGAACTGGGTCACTGGAGGTATGAACTGCAAAGGTGTATCTCCATTCCCTTGTCCCTCTCTGCTTCTTCAGTACCATGATGTGAGAATCTTTCCTCTGCCCAGGCTCGTCTATCATGTTGTTTCTTTATTGAAGCCTGCCAGACATGGATTATAAATGGATTCTTTGGGGGAGAAATTCAAGATTTTATGTTTTGCTCTTGGGATTATATGGGACAAACTCAGACATGGGTACCAGAGTGAGAGTGTGGAAACCTACGTCTGGGTCAATCAACAAATGCAACCTTTGAGAGTGGATTCTACACACTAGACACTTCTCCAGGGACTTTATACACATTTCTGTTGATTCTTACACAAGCTTCAGTCCTAGCCCAATGTCAAAGTGTGTGTGGTATGGACTGTGAGTATCATGGGAAGCAAAACACGAAGGAGGGAAGGGTTTAGGTCAGAAGAGTCAGAAAAGGCTTCAAGAGAACCAAAAAGGAAGGGAGAAGGAAAAACATCCAGTAAAAGTAGAGTGAATGAAGCTTCAGAGAAGGATGAACTGGTGTTTTCAGGGAGAGCTAGAAAAACCTGCTTTTTAGAATGATGACTGTACTAAGGAAAGAGAAAGGAAGATGGGTAAAGGTATCAGGATCCTGTGGAGAAGTTGGCTGTGTGGACACAGTCAACAGGATTAGAGGAAGAACAAACAGCTGCCAGTATCTGTTCCCCAAAAGCTGCATAACTGCTTTTGTGGCCAGGACTCAGTTCCCCTCTGCCAGGTGTTCTGGAGGCCTGGAGTGTCCCCTGAGACTCTCAGGCCTTGATCCCATCTTGGTTTAGCAGCCTGAGCCTATCCTCACCTTGGCTTGGATTGGTTCTGAGTTCTCTGCCTGGTATTAGTGCTCCTAGCTCTCAACCTCTGCCCAACTGCCTCTGCCACTAACACAGGCAGGCAGAAGCAGCAGGTCAAACTCCCTCAAGCAATTTGTCCACCATTTATAGATTATAATTAGAGGCATACACTTGTGTAGGTAATTTATGAAGCAAAATAATAGGAACTAGAGAATTGTCAATGCTTCCGGTGAGTTCTCCCCATCCCAAGCCCTTGACTCCACCCAGAGGTGACCACCCTGATGGTCTAAACTCTAAAACACACACACACACACACACACACACACACATTTATTTGTTTTCTTTGTTTTAAAAATTTTATTGTTTAATTGATACATTAAAAATGGTATATACTAATGTTTCCACATGCACACCTATTGCATAATATCTAAATCAGGTTAAACACATCTGTCTCTTCAAACATTTATCATTTCTTTATAGTGAGAACTTTCAAAATCCTTTCTTATAATTTTTTGAAATGTACAGCACATTATTATCTATAGTCACCCTACTCTGCAATAGTACATCAGAACTTCTTAATCCTAACTTAAATTAGTATCCTTGGTTTTGAATTTTATAAAAATCTTTTTTTATTTTATAGGCTTCTAAACCTTCTTTTGTCACTCAGCCTTAGATTGCTGACTATACCATGTTGCAATTATATAGCGTAGTTCATACACACTTACTCCTGAGTGATTTTCCACTGGCTAAACCTCAATCCTTTTCTCCATTACTCTATTGATGAAATTTTTTCTTTTAAAAAATGGACTCTGAATGAGATTCCATCATGGAAGGCTAAAGAAAATAGCACTCTCTCTGTTGCTTTAAGGCATTCATGCAGGTTAGTGGCTGCACTGCCCCACAAGGAAGTAACAAGTGCCCACAAACCCATGGGAATATAACCTAAACAAGATAACCAACAGGTGAGACAGAAGTTGGGGAAGCTATGGAGGCCCTCTTGAGCAGAGAGGCCAGGGACGCTCCTTTTAGATGAAAGGTTATACTTGCACACACTTAAGCCTATGATGCATAGGATCTTGCTTATTTCTGAGAAGCTGTCAAGATATCTTTCTTTTTGAACCAGTACAAAGTACTTGGTTTCTTTTTTGTTTGTTTGTTTGTTTTTTGTTTTGTTTTGTTTTGTTTTGTTTTTTGAGACAGGGTCTCACTATGTAGTTGAGACTCACCGGGAACTCACTATGGTCTCGAACTCATGGCAGTGCTCCTGCCTCAGCCTCCCAAGTGCTGGGATTAAAAGCATGTGCCACGACGCCTGGCCTGGTTTCTTTTTAATGATGCTAAGCTTAACAACCACACTTTCTTGGGCCCAATTTTACATGTGCTTCTTTTGTGATGAAACTTAAAGTTTTTCAAGTAATTCTGCTTTGCTTTTTGCTCCCAGTTCTCACTAAAAATCTGGCTAAAAACAACCAGCAGTACCCATGCCACAGCCTGAACATTAGAGTGCCTTGAAATTTCCTCTGCTGTATTATTTAATTTGCCATCCTTAAACTCAGCCTCACACAAAATTTTAGGGCAGGGAAAAATGTCTTTGTCAGAATGTAACCTGTGACGCCTGCTCCCGACCCAGCCGCCATCGCTCAAGCGCCGGGAAGGTAGCTGCACGGGCACCCCTGAACCCCCATAAGCTCCCCCCCCCGCACTCTCAGACCTCCTGACTGTGCAAGTCTTTGGACCCACTCTGCAAAGACAGAGGTGGTCATCAAGGGTATTTTTCTGAGTTCCCAATTTTGAACATCTTTAAAGAAAGGGCGTGGGAAACCTGTAATAGAACGTTGCGGAGTTCAACCATTCAGAAGGATGGGGAACTCAATCTGGGCCTTGCAGCCCGAGGTCAGTCAGTGTCATGGGGTTCAGCAATCAGCTAACTGAGATCAGGGGTCTTGCATCCTCGCTCTGTCTGAGCCATTAAATGGTAAATATACTATATTGAAAAGTTTGTTCACTGCAGACATGTTCTGGACTGCTTCTTGATTTCAATTTAATTCAAATGATTTAAGGGTGATAGACTAGTGA